AGAAGATTCCTGTGTTCCTGCAGCTCTGGGTTCTGTGATCCCACTTCCTTGCTGAACAAATTTGAAGAATGAAATTCTGAGCCTCATTCTGCATTTTCACCTACCAGCAGCAGGGGGCACTCGGTACTTAAAAATACATGTATGCCTGTCTATTATCTCTGAATTGACAAGTGAAACCAGCATTGCTGTGTCCTTTTGTTTACAGAGCACAGAATGTAATATTTCCATGAGTTGATCCTGGATGATGCCTATTCCCATACCTGTTTGGAAGTTCCTACAAATGCATCAAGCCGATTCTGGTGGTTCCCATGTTTTCTGGAATGCTAAATTGTTCCCAGAAAATAGTTCCTTTGCCACTGAGCCCCTGATGAAGCTTCCTAGGCCCCCATCCACCCCACGTCCTCAGGCTGTCTTTGCTTTTGCTAAGAGTCTCCAGCCACCATATGACCCCATGTTGGCAGCTGGGCTGGGTGGAGAAAAAGCTTTGTGTTGTCCTGGGAACAGCAAACAGCCTGCTGTGCCTTGCTTGGGCTTAATGGATAGCTCCCTTTCTCTCTCAGGGCCTCAGTTTCCTCATCTGTTCAATGGGTGGTTAGTGAATTTTAAGGTGTAAGTGAATGCCACAGAATTCTTTCTTTAAAGGACATCTGTCTAAATCCCATGTATAAAATAAATCAAAGTTGAGCAGTGCTAGTGGATGAATGAGGATGAAGAGAGTGGGGACTGGAAGAGGGTATGGAGAGCCCCACCCAATTGCTCCCCACCCCTCACCAAGAAGCTCCCGAGGAACCCCAGAGAGTTTTAAATGCCTTTACACTCAGCATCGGTGTTTTTTAAGAGTCTCTTCTTAGCCCAACCGGCGTGGCCCAGATTGAGCCCTGACCAAGAACCAGGAGATCCCAGTTCAATAGTTCAATTCCCAGTCAGGGCACGTGCCTGGGTTGCAGGCTCAATCCCCACTGTGGGGCACGCAGGAGGCTACTGACCAATGATTCTCGTAATTAATGTTTCTACCTCTCTCCTTTCGCTTCCTCTCTGATATCAATAAAATTATGTATACATATTTAAAAAAAAAACAACAACAACAAGGAACTCCCATCTCTGAGATGCTGGGATTCTCTGGAAGGCTGGACCAGATCTGGTGCAGGGAAGGGACCTATATCTATCTTTTCTGTGACATGCCCCTTTGCAGAATTGTGTTTTTAAATGCATAAAATAATATGCATAGGATGGCAAAGGAACTATATTTAAAAAGATATTGAAATATGGTTATATAATATTTTTAAATTTTGTGATTAAATAATCCATATATATGTTTATTAATACATTAAAATTAAACCCAGCCTCCTTACTCTGGCTCACAAGTCCCTGCAGGATCTGGCCCAGGCCTCTCTTTCAAGCTCCATCTTAAACAGATGTCCCTCATATGCAAACATTCCAGCCATCCCAACCTTGGGAACGTTGGCCTGATGTTCCCACTGCCTGGAAATTTCCTTTCCACCTGCCCCCTGGTTCCCCACCACCAACAATCCCATGTCTAATGCCTGGTCCCTCCCCATTGTTCAGGTCTCAGTATAAAAGTCTCCCCTCCAAGGCCTTCCCTGGCTACCCTGAGGAAACTAGGTTCTGTCCTTCTCCGCATGTACCCCACTCAGTACAGTTTTATTTTGTATAATTATAATTATGGAAATTTATAATAATTTGCATGGCAAGTATATATTGTTATTTATGTACTCAGTGTCCACCTCCCCTCCACAAATGCATGGACCACATCTGTCTCTGTTTCCCTATTTCATACTTCTCACCTAGGACAGGGCCTTCTACATGCCAGGTGCTTATCTAGTTGTTAAATGAATACATGCAGTGGGCCCACCCTGTGGATAAGAGTTGCTAGTTCCATGAAATAGGTAGATACCTCAGGAAGAATCTATTGCATTTGTAAGCATCCAGCACGAAACCTAGCACACAGGTGCTTCATAAATGGCAGGCATGATTTTTGTGTCCCTCTGAGTTTTCCCCTGCATGTCCTTCTGCTCATTCTTCTCCATCCAAAGTCCACATCCAGAGTCCCAGCTCCATCCGAAATGCATGCATGGGCCTCCGGGCCCTCCCATCCAGCCTGCCTGTCCCACAAGGCCAATCTGCTGCTTTCCTCCCCAAAATCATCTCAAGAAGCTTCCCTACTTGGCTTTCAAGGACTCCAGGGCCATGGAGGTGGACCATTCTATTCTGCAGAAATTCTGGAGGCATGCCTGGCCTGCACGCGGTCAGATTACTGGTGGAGTTCCTCCCGCCTGAGAGGAGAGGGAGTCTCCATCGCCCCTCAGAGGAGATTTCATCTTTGCAGTTGGGTGTGACTTCAGTGGAGTGCCCAAGGGGCAGGGCTAGAGCAGCCCGTTGCCTCAGGAGCCAGGAAGCTGAGAAGGAAGTAAGAGTCTCAGGAATGAGGGATGGTGAGTGGGTTCTCCCTGGTCCCAGGGGGAAAAGGGCGGAGAAGACAGACGTCTGAGTCATGGGACAGGGTTCCAGAAGGGGCACTGCAAAGTTATTGCCCTGTAAATTGACAGCTAATTGTGGTTTGGGGATACAGTGCCTGCAAGTGGGGTAGCTGAAGGCCCTGTACTCCCACATAGCAGGTGCCAAATAAACGTGTGCTTGCTTCAGTCTGTATTCCTCCCGACTGGCCTGCTCCCCCCTAACCGGGGGCTGAGGCAGCCGAGCAGGGACTCCGTGCTCTGCTTTACCTCGCCAGGGTTGTTTCCTAGCATGTGGACAGCTGTAGGGTGGGACCACACCCCTAGGGGGACCTTTCCTCCCCTGCCATATCGCTGGTCATGTGGCTTAGACCCCCTAGAGAGAACATCCAGGCCTCAGTTGTGTCTCAGCTGCAGGCCCAGAAAAGCAGCAAAGCCAGACAAGCACTGCCAAGGCTGACCTTGGGACCAGCTGCACTGAATAATGACCCCCTGCCCTGGCACCAACCAATCAGTGGAGGCCCGGACTCCGAGAGGACACCCCTGGAAAGCTGCTGGATATTCTATTGAGATCTCCCCCTGGGACCTCCCCTAAAATCTCCTCCCTTAACACCCTTCGGATGGAGGACCAGGATGCTCTCCCTCCGGGGAGCTGGCCCCGAACCCCGCTGGCCAGTTTCAAATCTGGCAGGTTTCTCACCACAGACAACACACGTACAGTTATTCTTTATCTGAAGACCTAGGGACTTTCGGCCATTAAATGTTAAGAAACCCCTTTCTTCCTGTTTCTAATGGTATTTTCATTTTCCTTCAGACTTTCATAGTCAGCCTCCCTTCAGCTTCTTTTATCTCCTGGAGGCCCTTCAGGCTTTGGTTAGCACACTCCTCCAAGTCCTTCCGGGTTCTGCATGCTCTCCCTCTTGGCCGCCCAGCGGTGCCTTTCCCTTGCACCTCTTTTCCGCCAGACACATTACCTTTGCCTGCCTTTCCCCTAAGCTCCAAGGGCCCTACTTTTGCTTCTGTAACTTGTTTCCTGAGCCTAGGAAGCCCAGCTGGCTCACTGTGTAACGGAAGCCGGGTTCTGCTGCCTGCTGCAGCGCAGCCAAACTCCGGAGACAGGTGCTGTGCGGGGCTGAGCAGCAGCCCCTGAACATCGGGCGATGAACAGATTACTCCGACACAGTTTCACTGTGGGGGAGAGGGCTACGGGGCTTACCAGGCTCAAGGGTCCCAGCAGCCCCGATTGCCTGCCTCGTTAGGCCTTTATTGGAATGTTTATCTTTAGGGACAATCAGTGGGGTGAGTAATCTTGGGAGGACACAGGTTTACATTGTCCTCTGGGCAGGGCGTTCAGGGATTAAGCATAAGGATTCCAGTAAACCCGGGGAGTCTGCACATGCACAGACTCGTTTGGAAAGGTCAAGGAATAATGAGGGGCACCGCCTTCAGACACTCCCCTAAGTCAGAATTCCGATAAACAGGGCAGGTGGCCTTCCACACACTTCCCTTTTATGAGAATGTCCTTCTTACAAACTTTCCAACCAAGTCTTTTGTGCTCCCCAACAGTGCTGGCAAAAGGAGAGAGGTTTATTGGAGTGCTGGCATCCCAAAGAGATGGGGCACTCTTCCCAATCCTCAAAAACCCATCTCCCCTTTGCAGAGCAGGCCAGGGTTTTTATCAAGGAGGAGAGTGAAAACAGAATAGAGACTAGGGGGAGGGATGTGGGCAATCCATCTTTCCTGGAAGTAGAGAGAAGGGGGTGGGGGGAGGAGAGACTGAGGGAGTGTTGCTTCTCAAGATTTCCTCTTCCCCTTTTGCTGAATTTGTAGTTTTACCACGGACACCTGTGGATCTTCACAGATGTGCCAGGCATTCCCTTCTCCCCAAACAGCTTTCTTTTAAGCCGTAAAAGAGAAGCTAGATAAGAAAGAATAACACGGGCTTTTAATTACACATTCTTAAGATATCAGAGGTTGGCTGCAGCCTTAAAACAAACGGAATGCATAATCTTTTTATCGCTTAATTGGAATGTTAATTTGTGGTTATAATTTCTATTACCTTGGTAACTTTCTAAATAAACTTTCTCTTACCAGGAGCAGTTTGCCTAGGCAGCGCTGGTTCAGCTTCTCTGGTGAGGGCCTCTAATGAGCTGATTTTTTTTTATTATTATTAGTCTGACTGCTTCTTTATCGTCCACTTGGTGCAAGGCACACAGTTACCCGGGGTCAGGAAGGCTGGAGTGTGGCTTGGTTGGAAAGAGAGGGGCTCTCTCAACTTCCTTTTTGGTGTCATGCTGCTTTAATATGAAAGAACCCAGCTGCCCGGCCAGCATGGCGCAGTGGTTGAGAGTCAACCTATGAACAAGGAGACCATTGTGTCCTAGTGGGATGGCAGCTGGCTTTCCCCCAGGCCTAGGTGAGTCACCTGGAGAGCAAACCTGAAGGGAGCCCTCACATTCAGTTGTACAAATGCAAGGTCAGTGTTAGGTTGAAAGGGGGTCCAGGAGCTGATGCCTGCCTCCACCAGGCAGATAGGGACGTAGATACTGGGCCCTTCCTAGAATCTGTAACAGGCCAGGGCACCAGGTAAATGGTGACGCAGATACTGGTCCCGCCCTGGAATTCCTAACAGGTCAGCTACCAGACAGATGAGGACACCTGGAAACCGTGACGACCCCCGCGGCAGGAACTCCCACAGCTCATGCTCCCCTGCCCTCACTGAACAGCTGTATAAAAAATGCCCCTACTCCCTCTCTGCTCAACTCCACTGGCCCAACCCCAGGACCTGTGGACCTCTCCGGAGAGCGCAGAATAAATTCTCCTCCTTCAATCTGCCTGACTCTCTGACTCAGTTTCCTGCGCCGCGAACCTCACAGTCAGCACCCTGAACGTCGGATGATGAACAGATTACTCCGACACAGTTTCGATTAAATGTCGTCCTAAATTTTGTGTCATTGATGCCCTGCCTACCTCAGTCAAGTCTGAGCCTTGTCCCCCACAGCTAGCAATGCAAGAGACCAAGGAGGAAGCCATGATATCTTTTCTGGGTCACCCTGGAAGCCAGAAGTCACCACTTCCACCAATTCATTGTGGGAGAATCCACAAACACTGTGAGTACCAGAGATGAGATGCAATAATGTCTGGGATTTGCTATGAAGTAGTGATCAGGACTGGGGGGACTTTGTGAGAGTACAAATCAAACCAGCCTGACCACCAGCTGATCAATGTTGCATGTGGTTGATTGGTACGTGGAGGTCCATTACACTGTGCTGTCTACTCTAGCAAATGTTTGACATTTTCCACAATAAAAAGTTAAAACAAAAAAGATATGATATACCGTAGGCAGCAGTTTTCCTGCTCAGCCAGAGTGGAGCAACGTCTGGTCCCAACAACATCTCTT